CAAGTTAGAGAGATTTATTGAGTTAGCCCTTGCTAAGTCAGGTCCAAATGTATGTAAGAAATTTTCAAGTTTTTTTTTAGAGATTAATGGATTTTGTATTTATTGGGGAATGAAGAGGAAGGAAGAAGTTTTGATTAATAGTCAAGTGATAAAACTGGTATTCCACTATTTGCTTTGACTCACTGCCTACAGGTCCAGTACTGTATCTACTGCTTACACATCTTTGGGACAAACATGAAGAACAAAAAGACCCACACAATGGGTATATACAGTGTAGAAAAGGCACTCCACCTACATTTGTTTTTAAATAAGCTATCTAGACACAAACTGGTCACAGCAGTAACAAGCTGAACATAGGCTACTTGTTTAGGAAGAGCGATAACACAACCAATGTGTTTCCAGTACTTAGAGTCTCCTTTAAAGCCAGTTCCAGTATCTTGACACTAAACTGTAGTGTACAGTGATGCATACATCACATATAAAGAAATCTACTCTTTTCAGAAAATAAAAATATTTCAAGGTATTGACAGTAAACACTCTCAAACCTGGAAACACTGCAGCTACGCTAAACTTCAACCTGGAAAACCAAAATTAAGTGCTATATTTATAATAAAAAATATATACTACAAGTTTTGTTGAAGCTCTGCTCCAAAGATGTTTTAAAGAGTAAAAATAGCTGGTTTTAAAACAAAACAATATATTTGAAAAAGTATATTTGAATTAATTTTCAGCCTTGAATCCACTTCCTGAATGACACCTTCTTTCCAGATTATGTGGGAAAGGAATCCTTTTTCTACCAAGCCAACCTTCACATGGAATTCTAAACCAGACAGGCCTACTAATTCCAAAATAGCATGCAAAACTGGTTACATTTTGAATGACCATCACATAAAGAGCCTTGCATCTCAATCAGAGTTTAAGCACTGAGTGATCTGGGAGGTTTCACTCCCCTGTATCACCAGATCACAAGTAGATTGCGAAAAACAAATAAAATTGCATGAAGAGCAGTAGAACTTTTATTTTAAAGTGCTGGCATTACAAAATACAAGAAAGATTTTTCATGCCCTTAATAGTCATCGCTGAGACACCTTCACCACTAGACATCCCTACAGTATTTAATTGTCATTCTCTTTTTTTCAACAGGTCACTTGTGAGGAGTCCGGAAAGAACCTCTCTAATATCCCTACTAACCTTTTCCAAAACATTACTAAATTAAACCTCAAAAACAATAAAATCACTTTAAAAGATATTGACAAAGAGATTCTTCAAAGTTTTATTAACCTCACTGAACTTTATCTGAATGAAAACATGATTACTGCACTGTATAATAACAGTTTCTGCAGTCTGACAAAACTCGTAATTCTGGATATCAGCAACAATCATATTATCACAGTTCAGAAAGCAGCATTTGCAGGATTAAATCAACTGTCAGTGTTGAATCTATCCTACAACTCAATTACTCAACTAGATTCAGATGTATTTTCTTCTCTAAAAAGTCTGACAGTTTTAAATCTACAGTATAACTTCCTGAAATACTTTCATATAAAACCATCTTTTAAATTGATTAAAATTGTTTTAGCTGGAAACCCATGGACCTGCTCCTGTGACCTCCTTGATTTACAGATATGGCTAACTACATCCAATGTGACAATGGGTAAGTTTTGGTAAGAGCAGTATTTCATACTTATTTACATCAAACAGCCTTATCTTGTTTTTTACTGATCTGGATAATATCCACCCTCAACTTACCTGTATTTTGCAGTAATACATTAGTTATCCATGAAATTTTTTTTAAATTTGAGTGCCAATTAATTAGCAATATCTCATAGCCTTTCCACTGCCCACATTAACAGAAAATGAAAACAGCACTATATGTACATTGCCAAACACCAAGGAACAAGTCTCCATCAAGACAGAAGCTATCCAACCAGTTGACTGCAAAAGTGAAAACGCTTCTTTAGAAAACACTGTAATTTCCACTTCTGCCATTAAGCTTCAAAGTAGTGCCTTACTAACAGCTCTGACTGCAAACAACATCACTGGAAACAATGGAACACGTGCAGGTAATATACTGATGTTTCACTGCTTACAAGCTGTTTGAGTTGCTGTTCCATGATTTCAGACACTTTTGTATTCTTAGTACACTGTAATTCTTCCATAAAAGCCAAGGCTATGGAACAAGTTATTTCCAGGTTTTGGTATACTGTACACACATTATGGTGAATGTTAAGCTCTTCCCAGTCAGTGCTCACAACAGATAAACCCCACTTGAATTTTCAAATGATACTACAAACTGATGATGAAATTCCAAAGGCTTGAAATTCAGATAATTGTCCAGATCTCTGCCTCACAGAACTAGGGAAGCATCTTTTTTAAAAAAATCAATTACTTCTTCCAAACTAACTGCTTTCTAGATGTAGCTGTCATCTTAAAATGTGAAAGGGGAGCCTATTAATTCTACTCCTGCCCTTGACTGTGTTCAGTGTAAAGGACATGGATATGCTCATCCAATATTCTTTGAAAATTTCAAAGTAAGGATAGTCTCCTTACTTTTCATCATTTTTAATGTTAATTCCACCATCACTTTGTAGTAGTCTAGCTTTTGTTTTGGTAAAGTCAATTATTTTTTTTCTTATATGAAATTAATGTTCTTCTTCACCCTTTCATACTGAAATGCTTAACTTCTTGCTTGTAGCTAAAGCAGAAGAAATATCAGTCTCCAGATACATACACAAATTGTAAGCCACCGCTGCCACATGCTTCTTTTGCTGTAGCAGCTATAATCTATTTTAGTACAGTGGCCAGCATACAAAACCATCTGCTAAATAAAGATTACTGGTAACTACAGTCTATTGAATTTTTTATTATAAAAGAAATACAATTGAAAGGATGCACCAAACAAAATATGTAATATTCTAGGGTACATACATCATCACCATACATAAATTTAAGCCTGGGAAATAGAATTTGAAGTCAATTACTGATTTTTTTTTTTCCTCAAAGCCCAATCTTGAAATTTAAACTTTGAAAAAAATTATTTTATCTTTTGTATGTCCCTAAACTTTATCTGACTTTGAAACTATTATTTAATTTTGACAGATATGCATGGTAGATTTATATTTCTAGGAAATATGAGATGTACATGTATTTTTGGTCTGAGTAATGTTACTGACTCCCTAATAATATAGCAATAACATTCTACTAAAGATTTGGAGACACACAGTAATTCCCCTATCATTATTTAGTGTGTTCTCAATCTAACTGTGAAAAAAATTCGTACTAGAGTTGTTGCTGGCATTCTTCATGAAGATGACTCTTCTTTTTTTCCTGTCTGTTTTGAAGAGTTACCACTTCTTGGCAAAAGCTGGACCTTCCTAGCGGGTGTCCTAGGGTTTGTCCTAAGCACTACACTCCTGATTTTTACTGCTATAAAATGCCCGACATGGTATCACTATTTGATCAGCTACAGTCACCGTCGCCTGGAAGAAAATGACTCAGAGATGTTTGAACAGGAGTTCTCAGCTGACACAAGTTCTTCTCCCACAGTATCGGATACAAACAATGAAGATCCCATAGTAATACTTGAAAAAATTCATACATTTGTGCCTGCAGAAGATGGATTTATTGAGGATCAATACATAGATTCTTATGTAACTGAGGAGAGTTAATGTCTTAAACAATGGATCATGAACTGACTTTTCAAAACTGTAGTTCACTTGTACTTCCATATTACGCTACTTATGTACAATACAAAATGAAGCTAAGTAGTCCATCTCCTTTCATCTCATCAAATCCATAACAAGATATTGCTGCATGAATCATGAAGCTAAAAAATGTGGTGATGTGCATGCATTAATGTCACAAGAAATATTTCAAAACATGCAAAAAATACTCAGAAACCACCTTTTATAAAAACCTATTTGGCTATTTACAGTGGGGGCAGGGGGAAAGGAGCTTACTGTATATTGCTTAACATGAACAAGTCTTTGCAAAGTGGCTTGTAAAGCTGGCATAATCACTAATGCTTTATATGTGAAGAAGTCCAGAAAGGAAAAAGAATTTCTCTGAAATGTTGAAGCACCTCACAGCCAAACTGGGGACTGAATCCAAGTCAATGGTGTCACAGCTCAGTAGTCTATGAGGCAAAACTAACGCAATGACAGAATAGAGCATTTGAGGGTTTTTTTACATGAATTAGCAGAGCAAGAAAGACCAACTTATCCATTCCCTCAAATGTGTCTACATACAGTACAATGATAAATCATCATTACTGAATATCTAATGCCCTTATGCTTTAGTTTGCTACTGAACCAAGTTTTTTTCTCTTCATATTTTCTTAACACTTAAAAATGCATTCAGGGGTAGAATGGACACATTTGCAAGCTCTTGAAAATTGCAGTATTATTGAAAAGTGACTTCTTATTGTATGGTAAATAGTTTCTTGAAAGTGCTTATTTATACATAAAAATCTCATTGTTGAGATTCCTCTTACTGGCAACAAGCAGGATCATATCTCTTTCTCCTGCACATCTCCTGTCCCTAAACATCTCAGAAACTCACCCTCTCAGCCTATCACTACACAAGCCATTCTCATGCCAGACAAATTCTTACTGCAAGCATCTCACTGTCCTAATCTTCCTCTCCACTCACCCTTACCTTACCAGACAGTAATCTCAGTTCTAGTTCCCACTTCTGCTTGCTTTCCCCACTCTGCTACTCCACAACAAAACCTTCAAAACTCAGGAACTTGACAGCAGGTTGCCAAAAGACAGGAGTCTCCACTGCCACCTAACTCCTCCTGGATGACATAGGAAGTATCTCCACAGCAGTTACTCAGAAGAGTTTAAAGCTGGGAACTCCAGCTGCAGAATGGCACTGCTGTATCAGTTGTGGCACGCGTCGCACTGTTAAGGAACTTCTGAATTAGGTAACACCTGAATTTTGCCAAGTTCAGTTATAATTTTAACAGATTCGAAGAAGCATACACTTCATGTACTTACGCTTGTCTTTCTGTGAAAATTTTATCCACGCTCTGAGCATCTCGGTCATTCTGAACCTTTAACTGAAAATTAAAAAAAGATATTTTGATATAATATATAATAATAAAGAGACAGATTTTATACACAAATTCAAAGTTTCCTTTAAATGAGAAAGAAGCTGCCCAGAATGCTGTAGAGGGCAGAGACTGCCTGCTCCAGAGGTTTTTTGCAGTTCATACTGAAGATACTGAAATTGCAGTCTTCCACTGGAAACCAAAGGAAGTAAGAAGGCATCTCTATGTTTGAAAAAGAAATACAATCAAGATTGTAACAAATCAATTAACTTACTATTACTGTGGGATCTGTTTCTGGAATACTTAGTAAAATATTGTTTAAGCCTACAAACAAAGTGAAAATGTAATGCTTGCAAAGCAATCTTCCTTTTTTAACACAGACATTGTGACTTTATTTTTCAATCAAATGCAGGGGAAAAAAATATGTTTTGACCAAGAAATACTAAGGTGGTTTTTCAAGCTACCAAAATAATCTTTTTTAAAACTAGTTTATTTTGCTTATGGTCAAAGTGATCATAAGAAATGGAACATGCTTAATGCCACTTATGCCTTAATACTTAGAGGAACACTAACTGTGTTAGAAAATAAAGAAAGAAAGGAAGAACAAAGCTCATTGATTTTGTGGGTGGCCATGACAGACACATATTTAATATTTATTTCACTGGAGTTATTTAAAAGGCAGAAGACAAGAATGAAATTTTCAGAAGACCAGGCAGTTTTACAAGGCAGCGCAGTCTAGTGAATTTGCCTTTCAGAAGACTAGTGTTCTATGCTTCTAAGTCAAATAAAGAATATATTTTAACATACATATTTTGGGTTGGGATGACAGCCTTCTCAAATCTGAAACACAGAAAACTACAACAGGGTTGTTAAAGCAACACTTCAGGCAATTGTCTCTCTACAAACATGTTGCCAATATTATGGTTAATTTAACTGGAAAAAATGGGTAAGTTTTAAATTAGTGCTATACTTTTTTATATACGTCATATGTTTGAAACACCAAGAGTGTAACACACACCATGTCAGTACTCAAACATAGCAAATATCCTAATTCTTACCACATTGTAATCTCGAATCACTTCTGCCATATCCATACTGGTGTTCAGTATATCCACAACCTGAAATGAGACAGAATTCCAACCTGTTATTGCTCTCCTTTTTTTTTTTAATTACACACAAAAAACCCCAGACAAATAGGTAGCAATTCATAAAGAGCTCATGAAAACACAGCAATTTTTTGTTATTGCAAATGGAAAAAAACATGATTTGGGAATCTTAATAGATTACATGCAGTTTTCAGAAGTAATCATCGTTATATGTAGCTATACAAAATCCACAAATATTACACAGCAGCAATTTCTTAAATCCATATGCAACTGCTTCTCCTAATGTATAGCACAACTTTTTTTTTCTTTTGTGTTTTCCTTAACTTCCATCTTTTTCTTTTCCAATAACTGAATAAAAGGCAGTATTAACCAGTACATTTTTACAGAGAAATGTCAATAAAAAGACGCTGAAGTAAAGCAAAAGCAGTACAAAGTAAACGAGAGGAGGGAGTGCATTCAGTATTAAAAGCTGACAGCAGCATACCATGTTGTAGTCCGCTAGCTGACCTTGAAATTCTTTGATTTCACCAGCTAAAGCCTCTGCCCTAAATACAAAACAAAAAGCCAAACTGAATATAGGAAGATTCATATATGTAAAAATAAAATAATGAAAAAAAAATTATTTAACAGTTCTTTGAAGCCTGCATAATACCTGAGAATAGTGTTGTGACTGAGAAAGATAGCGCTGCATTAGCTGCAATACATCTCACCTTTTTTCATACGACAAATAGACAGATTTCTCTTGCTTGTACATTTCTACTTCTTCCTGCAGCTTGTTAATTTCTGTTGTGAGTTCACTTGTTTTGCTTCTGCAAAAAAATAAACAGGAAAGAATCATTAACTTTGAACGTACAACTAAAATACAGAACAGAAAATGTATTTTACTACACGGCATATGCAATCAGTATCTCTTTCTCACACTGTGCTGTGTTTCAAATCACTATTTCAAACAACAGCTGAATAAGTGAGGAAAAAGGCAGAGTGCTCTATCAGCTAAAATCATAAATACTTGATAGAAAACCTCGATATGAAATAAAATATTTTAAGTAGCTTTTTGTCCCTGCTGGTGAAACAGATGTAAATTATTCTCAAATTGACATGAAAAAAACCCATAGTATCATTTCACAGAATGTAGACCTCATCCATATTTAAAACGACATCTTTTAGGACTGATTATTCAATCCTGAAATATGATAAACTGATAAAGTAACACACGCAATGCAATTTCCACAAGGCCCTGCCTTTGTCAGTGTTAGCTCAATGTATAATCCAAATAAACCACCAGAAATGTATACTAAAAGTATTTAGTTTGTGATGCTACTTCTTACAAATAGAGCTGTCATACCTAACAAGCGTTACAGGTGGAAACTCAAAACCGTTGACCCTCATTTTACTAACACTATGGGAGTACATTTAACTTAGCAAGCCTAGTAACAAAATGTCAAAGGAATCTACTTGTACTTGGACATAAGCATAAAATTCCTTTCCTCCTACGAACTATATGCAAAATGACCTTAACTCTTATAACAGGACAGAGTTCATTATAAGTGAGCACCACTTAACCCATACTATTGTTAAACACAACAAACTTATGTCAGAAAGGGAATAGAGCATTAACCTTTCTGCAGTTTGAATGTTTTGTTAAGACATACCTCAGCAGTCCAAGGTAATACGTTTTATCCATTATCTGTCTCTGAGGACCTGACAAAGGAGAATAAAATGACATTTTGTTAGAAAAGAACTAATTTTGATGAAGTGTAAATTATGAAAACAATCTGCAGAATTCACAGCCAGAAAACTGCCATCTTCTCAGTGTTCTTAAATAGATTTTACCTCATTAAAACAAACAAAGGCAGAAATTCATTTTAGACTGTTGTGAATATAAACATTAGTTTTTCACCTATATGACTAGTTACTAGATAACAAAGTATTTTAATTATTTCACAGTGATGGAGGAAGACACGGTTTACCCTGTTCTATTCTTTTGAATGATTTTTAAATACAGCTTAGGCACAGAAAAGCCTTTGTCTGCTGTGACTGCCAAGAGCAAAGAAAATAAAAGAGGGATGCTTTAAACTTCCTTTCCTTTCTTCTACTCCTATTGATCATAGCTATTCACTCTGCAATTTATACAGCAATGAAAAGTTTTCCTTTAAAAAACTAAAGATTTCTTGATAGCTATTTTCAGTAAAAAATACCTTTCATTGCAGTTTTCATTCCGCTTAATCCCTGCTGAGTCACTGGACGGTCTGTAACCTTAATCTGAGATGATAACACTCCTCCAGTAGTTGAGCAACCACCACGAGAACTGGGTCTTGATGTACTAGGAGGCATCTATTAAAAAAAAACCAAAACACAAAACTCCGAATTATGAATTTATTATCCATATGCAATTGCCAAAGCAATTAAAAACTTAAGTTAGTCTCTATACTGTTCCTACAAGAATCTTTTAGCGTTTACACCTCTTCAGGTAAACTTAGCTTCAGTCAAATGTCCTCTGCAGAAGGGTAAGAGACTACCTTTAAGCAGTAGTTCATTCTTCCTTGTGTTTGCAACATTAATGCTATTAAGATCTCCCATTGAAGCCATGATGCAAGACCTCCTTCACCCCTTTTGGTCAAAATTAGAACATAAAACTGTCTACAAAATTAAAATCTTAAAATTCTACCTGAAAAACTATCATCAGCCCAGTCACAATACTATAAAAAAATTACCAAAAAATGGATAAAAGTCTAAATATAGTGAAGTTAATGTTCAAATTTTTTAACATACCCCTGTTCCTATTCTGGTTGCTGATGGAGTCCTTGATGAAGAGGTAGGCCTTGCAGTCAGCCCTATTCCTGCTCTTGAAGAAGGACGAGCTATTGGAGTCTGTGACTGCTGGCCATGTTTGTTCCCTTTTGAACTTCTCCCTGGAAGAAAGACAGAAATAATCCTTCAATTTGTACAAGTTCTTTAAAACTAGCAGAGATCAACTCTTTAAAGCTCAATCCTTCCCCCTATTAAAAGTCCAGTTTTCTTTAGAAATCTGCAAAGCACTTCCTTACTGGAAAAGCATGGTATGAGACACAGACAGTGCTCAGAAAGGACCACAGAAGGTCCATCAGTAAAGTGAGACAGCACTCCCTCGTTAGTGCTTAGTCAGTCCTCATTTTACGTTGTTAAACACATAACTGCTACTAATTCTTGTGGCATATATTGTTTCAGCATCCGCCCACAGAATTCAAGTCTCTCACGAAACAAAGTGGCAGTGAACAGCTGTTGCAACTATCTCTCTGGGTTATCTGGAGACAGTCCTTCAGGCATCACGAGTCACCAATGCAAACCCAGGCTGCGCTGCCCTTGATAAATCCCGCTAGCTTTCACCAGCCCCTTGAGAAGCTCCTCCCCAGCCGTGGCATACAGACAGCTTTTCGATCGCTGAAGCTGCCAGGCAGTTACTCGGAGGGGGCCTGTGAGATGGTGGTGCTGTCGGCCATGACCCAAACTAGCAGGAAGCACCCCTGTTCCCCCGGAGCGGTAAAAGCGCGCCCCCAGACAGGCTGAGGGCGCCTGGAGCCGGGGGTCGGGGTGTTGCAGCACCAAACTGCCCCTGCTTCAGAACCGGGAACCCCCGCGGCCCCCGCTCCCGGGGCGGCAGCAGCCCCTTTCCTCTCACCGGGCTCCCAAGTAGCCATTAAGCCTCCGCGGTCAACTGAGCCGGTATCGCAGCAACCACCCAGCCATACAGGG